CTCGCCTTGGCGTCGTCGGTGTCCTCGGCAGGCTCGGCGTAGCTCCCGTCGAAGTAGTGGAAGATTTGGGCGTTCTGCAGCAGGAGCTCCAATTCGAAGCTCCAGGTATAGAAGTCTCTGCCGTCAAAGCTGGAACTTGTCTTTATTTTTGATATGCTCAGAAACTTTGATTGAGCTGAGAGAATTGCCTCTTCACTGGGACGGGGAGCCTTGGGGGTTGAGCCATTTGTGTCGAGGGAGAAGGTTTGCGGGACGGTGTTCTGCCCAGTTGGGCCCGGTTGGGTTGGTTGCGAGGATGTTCCCGCATCGCCGTTCCGCAATGTTTGGAGCCCTTGCTCCAGACTGGTGAGTCGCTGAAGAAGTTGTGCGAGGACTTCGGTGCCGATCGTTGTCGTTTCCTCGCTTGTCGCAGCCGGATTGGTGCGTGCTTCAGCCGTCAGATTAGTCTGACCACCAGATCCTCCGGCCATTCTCACACGCGAGCGTGTGCCGGTCGCCACTTTCCGAGTGTCGCAATTTTCGGGAGTGGTGTTGCGAAGGATTCCCGAGCCGCTCTGATACCATGCTACGATCAGAGAATGATCGCTGACTAGGATCTTACTCGGGAATGTTCGCACACAGAGAAAAGTTGGTTGGTGGGCCCGTGATCTCAATAGCAGAGTGAATGTAAATGCTTGAGATGAATAAAACATGCAAATACAACGATATAAATATGAGTACAGGGGAATACGAAGCGACCTAGCTAGCCATGTACTCTAAGGGGTACATTCCCTTATTCGAATTCAAACCAACCGTGCGGCCCGAACAGTTACGAAACTGTTCCCGCCAGATTCATTGTCCCTGCAGCTGCCCGATGCCGTTTTTCTCCGACGGTCTAGATCCACCCTAACCGTCTGACGCTTCGAGTCAACTCTGACTGTCTGACGGTTCGCTTTCTTGCTTCGATACTGCGTGCTTCTCTTTGCTGCGGTGAGGAGTGCTCAGTAACAATTACATGTTACTATTCGTAACAGAGCGAGATAATAGACTTTTTTGGTTTAAAAACTTTTCTACAAGAGAAACTTTTTTTGTTTAAAACCCGTGTTTCGGAAAGTGTGTCAGAATTTCGAGAAGTGTGTCAGAACTTGGTGCATCGGGATTCGTCATTTTAGTCTGGAGCGGGCGGGAAAAACCAGAATCGATATCATTTTGGGCGAGGGTTTCTTCTAGTTACCATTCGCGTGATCAGGTGCTAGTGTATAGTTACCAAACGCGTTAAGCGAGTTACCAAACGCGTTAAAACAACATGTAATTGTTACCGTACGCGTTATAGTGCCCCATATAAGTTACCATTGACATATTTTCCCTTATCCATTGGCTCGTTGCATGATTCAGTTTTGGTGCTGCTGGCCCGCGTCTGCGAGTCCAAGCAAGTCAACCAGCAAATAGTGAAACGCCCGTCCCATCCGTATCCTCTTTGCTTGTGTCGTGTTGATTACGTTTTCAGCTTGCCTGGCTTCGTTCAGTTCTTTTCCTACGCACTTCGCTCGTTGCATTTTCAGCTCCACGATCATCTCTGCTGAATATCACAACGAGGTCAAGACCGCGTCAGTTTCACAGAGTCCGGGAACCTAAATAGGGCTTCACCACGTTAGTTGGCTCACATGCACTGCTCTTCCTGCTGAATTTACAACAATGGGGGGGAGATGGTATTTGACTTCTTGTTTTAGTGTTAGTTTTGCTGATGACCCTCTTATTTCCTCTCTAAGATTAGTTTGATAAGAATCAAGAAGATTCGACAGCAGCCCTTCTTTCAAGGAGGCTGACGGCTTCTTTGTTCATCAAGACATACGCGATGTGCACTTTCTGTTCAGATTTTAGGACTCCTCAACAAGCTAGGGACGATCATATCTAGATTTGTTGGCGTCGGATGGCCTGGTCCGGTCTACTTAGCAAGCAAGGGCCCCTCATATTTTACCGATCGATCCGATGCTAAACGCGAACTTGATTTGGTTGGCCCCCGGCGCATAGCGCGCTGATGACCACCTCCTACCGAGAATCTTCTACAGGTTACTAAAATCTGACCGGTTAGCCTCAAGATTAGTAGCCAGTGCGAGCCGCGCGTCGCCAACGCTTTTTCCAAGGCCTACGACACTTTCCGTGTACAAACTAACATCAAGCATAAAGATTCCAGCAGCACAAGGCGTTGCGTCAAGTCTATTAGCCTCGTTACATCAAGTACACCAAAACTCCGTGTGGTGTGAGTCACTTCGAAGCATTCCAGGTTTCGTCCTCAGCCTTGAAGGCTCCCAAGCAGAATGATTCATACCGCAACACCATCCCATCGTCTACCACACTTACAATACGCCCTCCTCCTCCTCCTTCTCCTCATCAGCGCGCTTCACGCTCCTCCCTCCATCTTCGTCGGCAAAACTCGCGGCTCCGTCCCGCTCCTAGCGCTAGCCGCATCGCAGTTTCTAGGCGATGCCGCGTCGCAGGAAGCGGAGGCGTTAGTGAAAGCGTGGTCGGAAGCATACGGGCTGTCGGAGAACTCCGTGCTCCCCCCTTCCGCCGTCTCCCTTCCCGCGGGCGTGCCCGCTGCGCCGCACCTGGAGGACTGCGCGCGAGCGAGCGCGGAGCGTGAGGCGTGGGAGCGGAGAGGCGCGCGGGGAGAGGAGCCCGCTTGGACCCGCGGAGCTCCAAGGCAGGCGGATGCTGCTGCTGCTGCCGGTGGTGCTTCCCCTGGGTGCTCGGGGCAAGCGCAGGGGGAGGAGTCCCCCCAGCCGCCTTGGGTAAGGGGGTTTAGTGCTTACCCTACTGCGCTGCTGTAAGGTGTGTAGGACAGTGGAGAGTGTGGAGATAGTTGGATGTTGCACGAGAATTCCGGGATGGCTTATGCCAATGTCATTGTTACTGTCACTGTCACTGTCACTCTCTGTCACTCTCTCTGTAAATGTCAGCGTCAATGTCAATGTCAATGTCAGTGTCAATGTCAGGGTCAGTGTCAATTCAGTGTCAATGTCAGTGTCAATGTCAGGGTCAGAGTCAGTGTCAATGTCAGTGTCAATGTCAGGGTCAGTGTCAATGTCAGTGTCAATGTCAGTATCAAATGTTAGTGTCAACGTTAAAGCCCGCGGCCCAAATTGCGGGCCGCGCGGGTCAAGCTTTTAAAACTTGACGAACTAGTGTTTGAAAGGTTTGAAAAAAAGCGTGCCTGCAGTTTGGGACTTTTGGGAACTGAACCAACCCCCAGGGCGAAATACGAGGGCGGGCTGGGTTTGGCGAAAAAAACGAAAAAAGCGAAATCGGAATCTTTCGCCAAAACCCTCACCACAAAAACCCCCTCGCGTCAACCTTTTAAAACTTGTGCAATTTGGGCTGCCGGCTTTAAGGTTAACATTGTCAATGCCAAAGGTGCAAAAAAACGACGTTTTTTTCAAAATTTGGCCGTTTTTTTCGATATCGTACCATACCATCGTATAAAACGATAAAAAACGGTCAGGACAAAAAAATAATTTGGGTGAAAAAAACGATCGTTTTTTTCAACCGTTTTTTTCGAACCACTTTTTATGCTTACCTTTACTTTGTAATTAACATGTTTTTAACTGTGCTGGTTTACCAAACCAACAAAAGCATGAAAAAAAAAAAGGAATTCATGCCAGGTTTTTCATCCAGTCGCTCACATTTTGTCTTTGTGAAGATGATAGCGATTTTTATTTAATAAGTTCACTTGATACACTCCTATTCTATATGTTCGGTTTCATCAATCAACTATATTTTCAATGTAATTGTTCTCGTACGCATACTTGTTGTATATGTGAATGGTGATTGTTGTTATTGTTTTGCTTTGTTCTGATATTGTTTATTTTTTATTATTTTTTTTTTTCTGTTGTCTAACAAAAGAACGTCGTTTTTTTCCCAAAACCTATCGTAAAATACAATCGTTTTTTTTCAATCGTTTTTTTCCGCAATCGTTTTTTTCCACCTAACGCCAACACCAACGTCAATGGCAATGGAACTGTAAATGTTAATGTCACTGGCAACGTCCATGGCATTGTCAATGAGAATGTCAGTGTCAAGCATAGAAGCGTTCCAAGCAATACACACTCTCTTTGTATAAGATCCACGAGACAGTAATCTAGTTTTGAGACATCTCAACACTGGCAACGTCCATGGCAATGTCAATGAGAATGGCAGTGTCAACGTCAATGTCAATGGCAATAGCAATGGCTGGCTATGTCAATTCCAATGTCAAAGTCAATGTCGGCGTTCACCCGTAAGTTTCAATTTTCAACGCATGCCTTTTGCGCTCCATTGTTAAAGTATTCTCAATAAAAGAACTCTCTTAATCCGTCTGTTTCCCCACCCATGTTCCGCACAGATCAGAGGGTTGGATGAAGCCAATCTGCCGCTGACACGTGTTGTGCAGAGGGACATCTGGCGGCATCAGTTCCCACCTGGGGATTGCACCGACAAGCGCCTGCTCATTGCCAAGTGGCCCAAACCTGGTGGCCACGGGGCTGGCTCTCAGGTGAATCTGATGGGCTCTCAGGTGAATTTGATGGGCTCTCAGGTGAATCTGATGGGCTCTCAGGTGAATATGATGGGCTCTCAGGTGAATCTGATGGGCTCTCAGGTGAATCTGATGGGCTCTCAGGTGAATCTGTTGGGCTCTGAAGTGAAATTGATGGGCTCTTAGGTGAATTAGATGGTCTGTCAGGTGAATTTGATGGATTGTCCTGCAACTTTGATGCCTTCACACGTGCATTTGATGGGTTTTCAGGTGAAAGTAGTATGCTCCTAGGCGTAATTGTTGGGCTTAAGTTAGGTGAATCTGATGGGCTATCGGATAATTCTGAAGGGCTTAGGTGATTTTATCCGTTCTCAGGTGGATTAATGGGCTTTCAGGTGAAATTAATGGGCTTACAGGTGGATCCGAAAGCCCAAGAATGAAGTGCTCGTGGAAGATCCTAACACCTGCCTGCTTCATGCTGTCATTGCTGAGCTTCTCAGTCAACTGCATGTCTCCATACATCTCACCCCACCCACCATCCCACCAGGTGCATGTGATGTCGGCCATGCTCAGCCTCGCCATGCTCAACAACAGAGTGCTCGTGGAGGACCCCGACACCTACCTGCGCGCCCGCACGCCCGACTGTGAAGGTAAGACCTTTTCTCCCACCCACCCTCATGCACCCCTCCCCATGCCCCCCTCCTCATGCCCCCCTCCCCATGCCCCCCTTTCCATGCCCCCCTCTCATACTCCCCTCCCTTCCCCATATCCCCCTCCTTATACCCCTTTCCTTATACCCCCTTCACCATACCCCCTCCCTCACCATATCCCACTCCTCATGTCCCCTCCCCAACCCCCCTACCCACATTAAACTCTCCATACTCACCCCCCCCATAACCCCACCTCGTTCCCCCCTCATCATACCCCTCTCCCCACACCCTGCTCCCCATACCAGTTGCAGGGACTGATACTCCCTCCCCATCATACCAGTGGAATGCCACCACATGGCCATGCAGCAGCTGAAACTCATACCCACATCCCCATAACCACCTCCCCATATCCACCTCCCCATACCCACCTCCCCATACCCACTTTCATACACCCACCTCCACTATCCACATCCTGTTCCCCTCTTCCCCTTCCCATACCCCACCAGCCGTGGGGCACAACGGTCGGTGGGACTGCTACTTCTTCCCCATCACATCGTTGGAGTGTTTCTAACTGCTCCCCTATCATCCCTATCCCCCCTACCCCTCTCCTAAATCCAACCTCCCCCCTACATACCCACCAGCCGTGGGGCACAACAGCAGGTGGGACTGCTACTTCTTCCCCATCACCTCAGTGGAGTGTCGCCGAGTGGCCGTGCAGCAGCTTGTCACCAACACGCTCCCCGACTGCGCCGGGATGGGCTTTGAGGCCGCTGCTGCCTCGCCCGATCGCTTTGTGTGCATCGGCATGGCGAATTCTATGGAGTCCTCTGCTGCTAGGTGGGTACGGAAGGGTGGAATGGGGAAGGGGGAGCATTGATACGATTTTTCAGAGGTTTATTGCTAAGGTGTGCAGAAGGGTAGGTGCCTTGCGTGGCCATGCAGCAGCTAGTCACCAACACGCTTCCCGAATGCGTCGGCATGGGCTTTGAGGCCGCCGCTGCCTCTCCCGGCCGTTTCGTGTGCATCGGCATGGCCAACTCGTCGCTGCCAGGTGGAGGAGTGGGAGGGGAAAGAGGAGGAGGAGGAGGAGGAGGAGGAGGAGGAGGAGGAGGAGGAGGAGGAGGAGGAGGAGGAGGAGGAGGAGGAGGAGGAGGAGGAGGAGGAGGAGGAGGAGGAGGAGGAGGAGGAGGAGGAGGAGGAGGAGGAGGAGAGCAGCAGCCTCGACGAGATGACAGAAGAGGAATGAAAATGTACACATTTCTCAAATGGCCAGCGTGGTTCTCCATATTGGCGGAGGAATAGTCCCGTCACAAGTTGAGCAAGAGGGTGGAAAGTTTTACAACCTTCGGGACAATCCCAAACGGTATCTATGGTGCATCAAAAGCGGGAAAACACAACTTCAGAATTGAATCAACCGGGAAAACACGAGAATTTCCTAAGACCGATGCCAGAATGGCTTCCGAGTTCGCGCATGTCCTGTTAAGAGTACCACTGCCTGTTGCCCATCCCCCCCATCCTGTGGCAGCCTGTGAGGCGACGCATATCTGAGCACAGCATGAGCGGTGGAGGCAAAGGGGCGACTCATGGTTCCCCTCCACGGTACCCCTTCTTCCCATACTTACCTCCCTCCCCCAAACCCCCATCCTGTGGCAGCCTGTGAGGTGATGCGCATCTGAGCACAGCATGAGCGGTGGAGGCAAGCGGGCGTCTCATCTCATGGCCTCCCCCTCTTCCCCTTCACGGTACCCCCCTTCTTCCCATACTTACCCCCCTGGAACCCCCATCCTGTGGCAGCCTGTGGGGCAACGCATATCTGAACAGCACATGCACAGTGGAGGCAGAGGGACGCCTTATTGTTTCTCCCTTCCCCACACTGCTACCCCGCGCTCCCGCTTGTTGCCCCCCTGTATCCCCCCCTGCATCCCCCCCATCCTGTATCAGCCTGTGGGGCGACGCGTATCTCAACAGCACGTGCACGGTGGAGGCAGAGGGGCGACTCATGCCTCTTGACCCTGAACTCCGCAAGGTGACTATAAGAATGAACGGTGACTGTAAGGAGTGTGCCAGGAGAATTTACTAGTGTTTTTGAGTAGTATTAAACGCACCTGATCCTGTGAAAGGTGACAATAAGGGGTGTGCCAGGGGTATTCAGAAAGGGGGGTGCGAGAAGAATTCAGAACTTGAATTTTCTAGAGGTGACGTGACGTGACGTGACGTGACGTGACGTGACGTGACATGAGTTTTATATTGTCTCATGACGTGACTGGAAGGGTTGTGCGTGAGGGTTGAGATTCATCATACATGTAATCATGTGATGGTGTATGTGTGAGGTCTTAATACGGACAATGTGTGTGTGATGCAGTGCGGCCGCTTCAGACTCAGCCTTGCACCGTGACTGTGTGTGTCCCCCTTTTATTCTGTTCCTGTGCAAGCTGTTCCTTTGCACTTCTTGCAATTGACTGGCAGTGCGTTCCAAAAGTAGCTCTTGAACCTTCCCCAATTCTCGCCCCTCTTCCCCCCTTTCCCATCAATTGCCCCCAGGTGCACTGGTGATGGTCTCAGCCATTGCGTTTTTTATAATTCTCTTGTTGTCGTGTCTTCTCTCTATCCTCCTCTACCCCCTCCCCTTTCTCCCTCCCCCCAGGTGGACAGGTGGCGGGCGCAGGCAGTGCGATTCATTGCTTGAGTTATTCCTATTATGTTCCCCTTCCCCCTCGCCAGGTGCACAGGTGGCAGGCTCAGGCAGTGCGATTCATTGCTCCCTCAGTGAAGCCAATTATATCCCCCCTCCCCCTCGCCAGGTGCACTGGTGGCGGGCGCAGGCGGTGCGGTTCATCATGCGGTGGCCATCAGCCCATCTCTGCCACGTCACCAACCAGGAGAGGCACCGCGCCTTCGGCACGCTCGCAGCCAATCACGTCGCTCGCTTCCTTCAAACCCAATCAGAAGCCCTCTCCTCCCTCTCTCACAGCACCGCCTCTGCTGCTTCTGCCACCTCTGCGGCCACCTCTGCTGCACCTACCGCACTCAACGTCCCAACTAATGCAACTGACTGGGAAGCAAGAAAGAGAAGAGCAGCAGAACGGTTGGCGGCCCTTGCAGGTTCCTCCTCCTTGTCTTTCCACGCAGACGCCACAGGCAGTGCCACAGGGGGGTCTGGTGAGAGTGACAGCGGCTCGGATGCCAGCTGGTCGTTGGGAGTGCAGGAGCCGTACATGCCGCGGCCGATAGTAAGTCTGCATGTAAGGGGTACGGACAAGTTTGCAGAGATGGGGCTGACCTCCCTCGACTCCCACCTCTTCCACATGAATCGTCTCCGCCACCACGGGCTTGACCTCTCCCACGTCTGGCTCAACACTGAGACTCAGGTGAGTTGCTTGTCAGATTGTGTTCTTCCTGTTTGTCGTTCATGTGTACACACCGCACACACGTACGCACGAAATCGCATGCGCGCACGCACACACACAGACACACAAAAGCAAGCATGCGCGCGTGTGCGCTCATATATGTATTTCGTCAGTGTTTGCAACACGGGATATGCTACAGGGCATTTTGTCTGGTGCATTACCTTACCACCCTGTTTTCCAGTCTTCTTCCTTCCTCTGTCCACCACACGACAGTATCTCTTTCTGTTCTTTCTACCCCTCGCCTTGACAAACAATCTGCTTCCTCCCACCCTCCTCCTCATCTCCCCCCACACCACGCAGGCCAACGTGGACCGAGCAGCGGATCGACCCTTGTGGTGTTTCTTCTGCTCGTCTAACTCGCGGCAGCAGGACGTGACAAGCGGGATGAGGCAGTGGCTGATTATGTCGGACTGTGTGCTTCCTCCAAACCCTCCTTGTCTCCCCACGCCACACAGGCCAATGTGGACCGAGCAGCAGATCAGCCCTCGTGGAGTTTCTTCTACTCGTCAAACGCACGGCAGCAGGGCGCAGCAGGATCGCTGCGGCAGTACGAGCGGGATCAATCTGTGGCAGTGAGCTTTGCGAGCGTGCTGATCGCTGCGCAGTGTGATTACTTCGTCGGCAGCCTCGGCTCCAACTGGAGTCGCCTCATGAATGAACTCCGCTCCACCAATGGCAGATTGCTGGCTGGATTTGTGGCCGTCAATTTTGGAGAATGGTGAAATGTTTCCACAAGCAAGAGTTTAAATGTAAATAATTACGTACAAATTAGAGACATGATGAACTGCTGCTTCATCACCAGCCTGAGTTGCCCAGAAGGGCAAGAGAGGGGAGGGAGAGGGGGAGGGGGGGGGGGGGGGGGGGGGGGAAGTATAGAGTGGGCGAGAATGTGCAAGAGGGGCTGTCGCTCCAGCCTGTCTATTGTTTGTGACATCAGGAACTAGAAGAGGCGATGGGCCGATGGCAAAGCAAAACACTTTTTATTCAAGCACGCCTCTACTTCTGTCTCCTCCCCACAATAAGCCTTCTACAGGCTCAATGTAGACTTCTATTTTACAGGCTCCATACTACAGCCACATCGAAGCCTGCTAGATCAAAGCTTGCTTCAGTGGGAAAGGATGAGCCACACAGCACTGGACATTCAAGAGCCTTCTGGACTTCCACCAGGGACCAGCTGCCAGCGGGAAACAAGGGGAAGGTTGCAAAGGAAGGGGGAAAGAGGATCGTGAGGAGAGCAGGTATGCAATATTCAATAGCTTCCAACGCAATGTTTGTTTTTACCGGGTTTCATGAGCTACAGGTATGTCCATATAAACAAGGCATGCGAGTTTCGTAAGCATCTGCCACGAAAACTGTTGATACAGAATCTGTGTGCTGCCTATTGGGGGAGGAGGAGGGTGGGGAGGCGTGGGGTTGGAGAGAGAGAAGTTCTGGCTGGGTGGGTGCAAGGGGTCTATGTGGGGTTGCAGAAGAACATGTAAAGCAGAGAAGCAGACAAAAGAATCAAGCAAAGGAATAACGTGAAGGAATCGAGACGGGTTAAGCGGGGGAGGGTCATGCAGCTCACAATGGCGATGTTGTTTCCGTTGAGCAGTATTTGATCCAGCTTGGTCACTCTGCTGCCCTCTGCTGTATGCTCGCTGCCATGTCAGCATGACAGCATGACATCGAAATGGATAAGCATGACAGCAAGGCCACGTCAGGATTGGAGAACGGGGGCACATGGTATTTTAAGGGTTTTGGAGAAACGTAGGTGCATTCTATGGACAGGTGGAGGTGTCAACAGTTGCAAATGGGGTCTGGAAATGATAAAACTTGCTACTCAGTCACAGCCTACAGGACCATGTTGAGTTTTGGAGGCGTATATTCTTGCAAGGTGCACAACTGGCTGTTCAGATTCACAACTCAAGTCACATTCTCAAGCATCACGCATTCGGATTTCACAGCTCGCACACTGATATCACTATTCGGTCACTTCCCAGCACCAACCTTTCCATAAAAAAGACTCACTATTCAGTGACGTCTTCAAGCACCATGTTGACGAACGAGGTGAATTCTAAATCGACTCAAAAGATAACTCACTATTCAGTGACGTCTTCAAGCACCATGCTGACGAACGAGGTAAATTCTGAATCAACTCAAAAGACAAATCACTACTCAGTGACGTCTTCAAGCACCATGTTGACGAACACGTCGAAGCATCTCACAGCTCGCACACTGAACTCATTGACAATTCGGCAAACACAACTTACTACTCAGTGACGTCTTCCAGCACCATGTTGACGAACACGTCGAAGCCCCTCAGCGTGCCCACTAGCTCCTTATCGCCCTTCATTATTACCCAGATCTTCGACCCTATGCACCGGTCGATCAGCTCTGTCGCGCGCACGCAACACAGGGAGTGAGAGGACACATACGTATTATCCCTTCATGATTATTTCCTCTGCACGTATTGATGAGCGGAAGCAAGCAGCGAGGTAAATATCCGCGGAACGAGAAGCGAAAGCAATTGCAATACGAATCAGCGCGGCTGGTTGTACTCGTTGCAAGTGACGCACCTGTGGGCATGAGATGGCTCGGATTGTGCGCCATCCTAGCGACAGAAAGAGTGCTGCGGAGCACAAGGAAATGAGATTCCTGACACGAATGCCTGCGCTGATCGAGTCAGTAGTATGGCGCAAAATGCGCCGTCAAAAGAGTCAAGTTACTCTTCGCGTGCTAAGCATGTAGGAATGAAACTGGCGGTAGGAATGCGCTTGCTGGTGACAACGAAAGACCCTACGACAACTCCAGGAGGGAATACTCTGTCAGTCCACCCAATAAAAATCAGGACCTAGAGTGTTGCGGAGAGCTTACGAGCTTTAAACTTGAAGTTGCGTTTGGAATGTCGTACGCCTCTCCTTGAGACGTGAACACTTAGCAAAAGTTGAGATCCACAACTGAGTACTGTTTGATGTGTAACGGTAGGAACCAACACCCTTATGTAAGCGCCGGATCAAACGCACTGAGAGGAAACGTTTCAAAGCCCCTGCGCCACATGCTAGAACAGTTGGAACAGAAGTCACCCACTTACCACTCTGGATGTTTAACATATACTAATGCACTTCGCTTATAAAAGAAGAATGACAGAACTCACGAGAACCTCTGAACCGAGTTCAAATTCAAACCTTCCATTCAGCTCGGATCCGACTTTGAAGAGCTTTTTTCAGAGCAGAATCTGGCTATGTCTCCTCGATAGTCTCCAGTCAGGGACCACAGTTGGTTTTTCACCGAGCCTTTGGCTGCTCCCATACCACGAAATCGTCGGAACCTAGGGAACTACTTTTGTTTTGTTTTCGAAAGGGTAGGCGAGAGTTTTGCCGCGCGCGATTCTTGCTGTCGCTCTCTAGCCTTCTGTAGTTGTTTCCGACCTGAAACTGGGAATTCACATTCTGCCCAAGAAATTTCTTACCCGTCCCAGTGAACTCCGGAAGCGCGCTTGTCGATCATTTCGCAAACGAGCCTCTAGTTTCGTCGCAACGAAGCTCGCGAACTCGTCCGAGCCTGAAACAGCCACCTCTTGAAGGGCAGCGGAACTGAAATTTCTCGCGCCGCAGCCTTGCCCGTGAGAATCGAGCAGCCAGCAGATTCATTTAGTATGTTTGCCCTTATAGAAATTTCAAGCCGGGCAGCTTGCCGGAGCAGAGAGCTCAGAAGATCCTGGAGGGTGAAAGCGCAGGAGGAGTTCCCCAAGCCTGTTCCACCCCCTCTGCTGCTGCTCCCCGCAACTCTCCTCCCTCCTCTCCTCTGCCTTGTGCCTCCTCGCCTCAGTTACAAATCATCATTTCCTCAGCCCAATCATTTTCAGAGTCTTACTTCCAAGTTTCCTCTAAAGAGTCTTGACAGCAATCTTTTCACAAAGCTTCACACTTGCTATTGTGTTCCAAATTCCTACCGTAGAAGCTTTTGTTCTCGAGGCGTTCTTCTCATATCGTACTCAGATTCCCCTAGATTTCATGGCATCAGCTGATTATCCGACCTTCTCTGAAGCCCTTCGTCTCTGGAAGAACCGGTCTGCTCTCCTGCAGTCGCAGGTTCAAGTCCCAGCTGTATCATCTCCCTATTCGGCTGCAGAGGAGGAGGACTCGCAGATTGAGGCGTCGTGGTACTCCTCTGAGGCTGCACAGGAGTCTACCGAGTCTGCAGTGGGTTCGTTTGAGGCGGAGGAAATCTCCTACGAAGCTGTAGGGTACTCTTCTGAAACCTCAGAGGAGCTCTCTGCAGCTGTGGATGGCTTCCCTGAACCTGCAGAGGCATCCATTGAGGCTGCGGTTGAATCTTCTGACAAGGACTTACGGATGGAGTGTGATGGGGTGAGTGTGTGCAGCATCATCGCCAGCATGATTAGCATGGTGGACAGCAGCTGCAATACGCTTCTCAGCAGCAGCTTCGGCAACGTGACACGTCTTTACAGCAGTCAAGATTACGTGGACTACAGCAAAAGCTTCTGTTTTGCCGTGCCTTGGGCAGCAGTGACCAGAGAGGCTGTCACTGCTGGTCACAGCAAGCTCAGGAAGTGCAACAATGGTGACTTGAAGCGGGAACCTGACCAAGTCTTGAAGTCAGCAGTGACTACAGAGCTGGCTTCAAGCAAGCGCTCAGTCTCAAGAATCGCGTTGGCTAGCTTGAAGCTTCTGCCTACGCGCATTCCCAAGCCTGGCAACGCACGTGCTCCTGCTTTGAAGACCGTTGCTGCAGAGGAGAGGAATGTTCTGCATGGAACTGTGTGTTCGGGCATTCCCAAGCCTGGGAGCGCCCGTGCTCCTGCTGCGAAGAGCATTGCTGTGGAGGAGAAGGTTCTGCATGGATCCGTGTGCTCTGAAAATGGTCCGGGATCCAAACAAGAAATCAGGAGGCGACAGGAGAGAGTTAACACTGTAAAACCTGAGGGGAAGAAAGGCAATGTGAGGGTGACAAGAGTGGCCGCAGTGAGGCCTCCCTGGCGGCCTTGAAGACTGGGGTGTGGCGATAAGAGTGGTCAAAGTATCTGGTCTGGTACAAGTTAATGCTCCTGGTGTGGCTGGCAGCGTTAACTAGGTGTAGTCTTGTCAAATATGTGCATCATTTGTTTAGGTCTTGTTTGATCAATGTAGTGCTGCTAACCATGTCTAGCAATGTGTAAATGTTCTAATCGTTGCTTACGAGTCCGTCTGTGTTTGGAACAAGTCGTACATTCGCTCCGCAGCCACACTGCAATATGAAGGACGGACTGTATACAAGACAAACAAGCAGTTTCAGTTTTTTCACTGCTTCATTTGTGTAAGCAGCTTCCTTATCAGCTTCCTTACCGTACCGTGTCTTACGGTAATCAGGATGCACTGCGTTTGTGATGAATACAGAAGGCTGAAATGCTCTTCTTGTGTTTTACACACACGTGCCAGCACTTGCACATTGTTGTAACATAACTTCAGCACTGCATGTGCTTCACCCAGTGCAGCACATGCCCTAAACTGTGCTGCCATCCCCTGGCTTCAACACCCATGCAGCACCATTAGTGACACACAACTCCTTCAGAACCTGCTCGTAAAAGGACGAACCGAACAATATTAGGGGCGTTGAGCTGAAAGCGGAGAAGAATAAGGAGAGCTGCCTTGGTCCTTCGCAGCAGGGAGGGAGGAAGGCAGGCTCACCCGTTGGTACGTTGCGGCGGGAACTTGAGCTTTAAGTGCAATGCGCGTGGCCTCCACTATCTCTGTTCGCTTCAGCCCTACCCCGCCTGCGCCCTTGGCTCTCAGCAGTGCAATCACCACCTCCCTGTGCCATGCATTGGGATGGTGGGAGGGAGTGAGGAAAGAGGTTACAACACATTCTTTCAGGCGTTTTGAGAGGGTTGTGCATTTTGATCACGGGTTGTGCATTTTGATCACGGGTTGTGCATTTTTATCACGGGTTGTGCATTTTGATCACCCTTGCCTGGTAGATGCAGGAAAGCTAAGAAGCACATGGGAGAAGGCAGGCACATAATGGCAACCAAAAGAAAAAGGAAAGGAAAAGGGAAAGCATATGAAGGAAATACTTTAGATGAGGTTCATGAAGCACATAGGACAGGGCACGTGAAAGTTAAAGTGGAAAAGAAGAACAAAACATCAACTCAAAGAAAAAGGGAGCACCTGAAGGGATCGACTTCTGGATCATTGAGTGTTGGGAGGAAGTATATTCCATTGATGCTGGTGGCCACCTGCATGGGACAAGGCAGGAAGGCATGTCATTGGGTTAAGTTATGCAGGCAGAAAAGCAAGCAGGAAAGCAGGCAGAGTAAAAAGGCACTTGATAACTAGGAGGCTGTAGTAACCATGTAAGAGGATGGCACTATGTGACAATGTGAGATCATGTGGGACTGTGCAACACAATGTGGGACATTTTGTGACAACGCAAGACAATGCATGGCCAAGTTGTGTCAATGTGTGACAATGAGTGAGAAATGTGTGACAATGTGAGACAATGAGTGAGAAATGTGTGACAATGTGAGACAATGAGTGGAGAATGTGTGACAATGTGAGACAATGAGTGGAGAATGTGTGACAACGTGAGAAGATGAGTGAAGAATGTGTGACAATGTGAGACAGTGAGTGAAGAATGTGTGACAATGTGAGACAACGAGTGAAGAATGTGTGACAATGTGAGACAACAAATGACAAACGGGTCACAATGTGAGACAATGTGCTGACAATTGAGGAACAGTGTGTAACAATGTGTCACAATCAGTAAAAGCGCGTGACAATGTGTGACACTGTGTGGAATTGTGAGTCAATGTCTGTCGATATGTGACAAACGAGTAAAATTCAGTGACAATGTGAGACGCGTGTCAGTGAGTGCATGCATGCACGACTGGGAGGAGCTTTTGAGTCGACTCAAAAGCACGCCTGGGAGGAGATAGCTGCAGGAATAGCTGTAAATAGGCGAACCACAAAATACTGTGATTCAAGTTTCGGCAGTTCATCGCATTCAAAGGAACAGTCGAACGGAGGCATGCAATGCAATGTTGATAAGTGCATAAGTGAGCATGAACAAAGCGAACCTCAACGTGCACGCAACAAAAGCCCCAGAAAGCACCTCTGAGACAGCTGTCGCGAGCTCATTGGCGGGAGCTTTTGCAGCCTTGGCTGCCGCTACAGCCGCCGCTACAGCCTGAGGTGACGCCCCTGCCGCCCTCTGCTGCTCCTCCGCTGCTCGCTGCAGCTGCTGGCACAAAAACGGCAGACTGGAAACGGTGGGGAGGGGTGGGAAATGGTGGGGGTGACATGTGAGGGACCACCTTAGTTGTCATGTAGAGGATGCGTTTACCAAGAGGAGCGGGTCAAGAGCCACCTCAGCCATACAAGCCATACCAAGAGGGTCACAACTACCTGCACACGTGGCTGCACCTACAACCTGCACACGTGGCTGCACCTACAACCTGCACACGTGGCTGCACCTACAACCTGCACACGTGGCTGCACCTACCTGCACACGTGGTGTTGGGCGAATATTTTTCTCAGAGCACTGGGAAGTGCTTCCCGAGTCTCAGCACTCAGGCTCTGCCCTATGGCTCCCATTGTGCTTCCTCCTCCTGCTCCTCCTCCCCCTCCCCCTGCTGCTGCTGCTACTGCAGATGCTGCACCTACTGCCGTCCCTGCCCCAGCACCAGACTGCAAGCTCGGAGCGCCCGAACCTCTTCCCAAACCTGCTCCGCCTCGGCCCGCCAGCCCAGCCCCTCGTCCAGCCAGTCCTGCCCCACGCCCTGCCAAACCAGCCTTGGGAGCTCCCAAGCCTCCCCCAGGTCCGGCCCTGCCCCCCCCGCCCCTACCTGCCCCTCCCCCAGCAGCAGCAGCCTTGGCCGCAGCAGCGGCTGCCGAAGCTGCTGCCACGTCAGCCATGGTGGCCAAGGACAAGGCGCGAGAGGCTCGGAGAATTGCAGGCTCGGCAGCCATCCAGCGCCGAAGCTGCTCCTTAGCTATGGCAGGGTGAGAGTCGAGGAAGGCCTGGTCTGTTGGTTCGGCAAACTCCCAGCCCGTGTTGGGCCCCCTGGGAATACCGATGGATAGGAGTAACTCCCTCAATAACTCCTTGGGTACCTGTGAGAGGACGGGTAAAGGTGGGTAAAGGTGGGTGGTGGAGCATAGAGGTAGGTACAAATGGGTAGAGTGACAAGGCAATGCATAGACCAACCAAGTGGCAAAGGCTCCCGGAAGTGCCTATTGACAGGTCCCTGAATAGCTCCTTGAGTACCTGGAAAGAGGATGATGAGTAGATGTGGGTAACGTTGGGTGGGTAGTGGTGGGTAGAGGTGGGTAGAGTGGGTGCAATGACAAGGCAGCGCATTGAGCAAATGGCAGCAGGCCCATGGGAATGCCTATGGACAGGAATAACTCCCTCGAAAGCTCCTTTGGAAAAGGATCAGAGGACATAGGTGCAAGCCGGTAGAGACAGGTGAGCGATTAAGAGCGACGAGCAGGGAATTTTTGGAAATTCTCAAAAATACCCTCCAAGTGGGTATAGGCAGGTGAGTGAGTAAGAGTGACGAGGGAAGGCATGATTGCTGGCTGGTTCTCCCCTTTAACCACACCCCTTTCCCCACGCGATACCCCACAGTGCGGGTTTTAAGGCAAGCCTTGATGCCTCAAACAAACAGTCACGACGCGCAGAAGCAGCAGCAGCGGCGGCAGCGGCGGCGGCGGCGGCGGCGGCAGCAGCAGCAGCAGCAGAAGCAGCAGCAGCAGCAGAAGCAGCAGCAGCAGCAGAAGCAGCAGCAGCAGCAGAAGCAGCAGCAGCAGCAGAAGCAGCAGCAGCAGCAGAAGCAGCAGGAGCAGCAACCCCCACACCCACCTTGAGGTGAGAAACGTGCTCTTGGCGAATGACGCGGTGTTTGGTGAAGAGCAGCAGCAGCAGGTCGCGCAGCACACAGGTGGGGCCCACGGGGCAGCGCATGGAGCTGGGCGCCACCCAGCAGCCCTGTGGGAGAAAACGGTGGGGGAAGAGGGAGAAAACGGAGTGCGGGGTTGGGGAATGGGGAATGGGGAATGGGGAATGGGGAATGGGCGGGGGGAGTGATGCAAAGGGAAGAGCAACGGCAGCAAACAGGTGGGCCCCACAGGGCAGCGCATGGAGCTGGGAGCCACCCAGCAGCCCTGGTGAAGATGGGGGGAGGGGGAGAAGCAGGAGACAGAAGGGGCAGTGGGGTAATGGGAAGGGAATGAGAAATGTGAATGGGAATGGGAGAGAAAGCACATGAGGGGGGAGGGAGACGGCGGAAGCACTGATCTGATACAAGGAGAGGATGGGCCTCTGTCCGTGCACTGCACATATTCTACCCCTACTTTTTCCCTACTTGCACTCTTACTTAATCCAACCCCCTATCCCTTCCCCTGCCTGCTTGTGCCTTCTCTCCACTTCCCCACCACCTCACCTGCACCGAGGTGACTTGGTGCAGCGCCCCCAAAAGTCACTTCCCCACCACCTCACCTGCACCAGCAGCGCCTTGTGTTGCAGCAGTGCCAGCACCTGCTGCTCCTGTGTGCCTGCTGGCAGCAAATTCATCAGGCGGCCGAACTGGAAAATGTGTGTCTTGGCCCGCGACAGGAGGGCTAGCAAACGGCGCTCCAGAGGCAGAGAATCCAAGTAGCTGCGGGAGGTGGGGATTGGGGCGGCGGCGGTGGCGGCGGCGGCGGCAGCAGCAGCAGCAGCAGCAGCATCATGAGGCATTTGATTAATAGATGTGTGCATTGGGCCCCACGGGAAGAGGGCCAGCAGCTACATGGGTAGCTGGAATTAGAGTGAGGACAAGGGGTAAGGGATTTATAGTCACACCTCATAGTCACACAACTCATAATCACACAACTCATAATCACACAACTCATAGTCACACAACTCCTAGTCACACAACTCACAGTCACACAACTCAGTCACACAACTCACAGTCAAACAACTCACAGTCACACAAATCAAAGTCACACAACTCAGTCACACAGCTCATAATCACACAACTCATAATCACACAACTCACAGTCACACAACTCACAGTCACACAACCCATAAACCCGTGCGATTTCACCTCTTGGAGAGGCCTGAGATGCCTCGGATCTCAGCAGCAGCCGCGGAGGAGTGCGAGAGGCACGACCCCACCAGTGCCTGGATGTAGGCCGCACTGAGGGAGTGGGGGGGAGGAAAGGATTGGGGGGAGACGATGAGGGGAGAAATTGTGGGAAAATAAGGAGCGGGTGGCGCAGGTAGGGGAGGGGAAGGTTTGAAGGTGGAGGGACTTCAAACGGAGAGCGGAAGGCAGGAGCAGACAAGTGTATTTATGTAGGCCGCACTGTGGGAGTGGTTGGTGGGAGAGGGAGGTGAGGGCGTGGGGAAGGGAGGTGGGGGCGGGGGGAAGCACTGAGGGAGGGAGAACGGCACACAGTGAGGGAGTGAGGGAAGACACACAGGAAAGGAACGGTGGGGAGCACATACTGAGGGAGTATTTTGAGTCGACTCAAAATACACCTGAACGGTGGGGAGCACATACTGAGGGAGAGTGAAGGGCACATCAGCAACACCACCAGCTGCTTCCTCCCCTGCTCCCCCATCCATATCCACCCCCTCCTCTTGCCCCACACCCACCCCTCCGCCTGCCAACCCCTTCCTTTCCCCATCCAATTTCCCCCCCTCGCCCTCCAGTGCCCCATCCACCTCCATCGCACTCTCCTCCTTTTTGACCCTCGCCTGCTTCTGCGCACCGCTCCCTGCCCCGCCCTCCCCCACCACCATGCGCGCACGCACTGCTGCTGCCTCCTCGCTCGATGCTGAGAAGGCCTGCAGCTGCTGCCACGGCTGGAAAGGGGAAGGGCCGACGAACAGGAGCAATGGGAGATGTGGACAGTATGTTGGGAGGATGAGGAGACGAATCAGGAGAGGTAAAGGAGGAGGTGCAGGGAGAGAGGTGCAGGGAGAGAGGTGCAGGGAGAGGGATGGGAGAGGGATGGGAGAGGGATGGGAGAGGGATGGGAGAGGGATGGGAGAGGGATGGGAGAGGGATGGGAGAGGGATGGGAGAGGGATGGGAGAGGGATGGGAGAGGGATGGGAGAGGCACCTCCCAGATCCCTCGGCCGAGGGATTGGGAGAGGGATGGGGCGAGGAATCGGGAGAGGCACTGGGAGGGGTAACGGGGATGAGAGGGAGTAAATGTCTGTCACTTCAAATTGCATGGCAGCGACCATGGAGAATATGAATCCGAATGAGGATACGAATGAGGATAGCAAGGAGAATACAACATCAGTATGAAGGCAAGCGCAAACACGATGACATGGTCCACTTGGTTGCCATGGCAGACATGACCATGGCATGGCCCAGTGGACATGACCATGGCATGGCCCAGTGGACATGACCATGGCATGCCATGGTCTGCCTGTGACAGCGACGCCACTGACCTCCTTCTCGCGCAGCGCATGGATGTGTGCGTATGACTGCAGGCGCATCTCCTCCTGCTCCTCCGTCTCCCTCTTTTTCAGGCTCACCTGCACAGAGGGGGTCAAAACAGTGACGTCATTACATTGGGGTTGTCAGAACTGCGTGCATACACACACGCAGTGTCGTTTTGAGAACCGTTTTGAGAATGGAACACCCTAATCCATGTCTTAGAATAACATGCACAGTGCACTGTGCCACAGGGGTGCACGTGTGTTCAGACAGTGTGGTGAACTGGTGCACCTGTGCACCTGTGGGGGAGTGGTGCACTGGTGCAAGATTATGGTAGCATGTGCGTTGAAGCAAGATGCAAGCACATTTAACATTCCCCTCATCCCCTCCTCCTCCCCACCTCCACTGCCCTTGCTCCAGACACTAATCAACAAACCCACCCACTCACTGTCTCCCGTATTCCCCTCTTCACATGCGCTTCTCACCGCTCCCACTCCCTTATTCACCGCTCCCACTCCCTTATTCACCGCTCCCACTCCCTTATTCACCGCTCCCACTCCCTTATTCACCGCTCCCACTCCCTTATTCACCGCTCCCACTCCCTTATTCACCGCTCCCACTCCCTTATTCACCGCTCCCACTCCCTTATTCACCGCTCCCACTCCCTTATTCACCGCTCCCACTCCCTTATTCACCGCTCCCACTCCCTTATTCACCGCTCCCACTCCCTTATTCACCGCTCCCACTCCCTTATTCACCGCTCCCACTCCCTTATTCACCGCTCCCACTCCCTTATTCACCGCTCCCACTCCCTTATTCACCGCTCCCACTCCCTTATTCACCTCCCCTACTCGCCTCCCCAATTCACCTCCCCTACTCAGACCCTTTTAACCGTCTTTATCCACATTTCAACCATCTTCAACCCATTCTTTTACCTCCAGAGCCACAGGACCCGCCTTGTCATCCCCATCCTCCAAGTCCCCCATCTCCTCCTCCTCCACCACCTCCCCTGCCCCCTTCTTCTTGCCCTTTCCACCTTCCGCCTTATCCCCCGCACTGTCTAGGTAAGCTAGTGACGGCCGCAACTGCACCACGGCATGTAACGGGTTCAGATGAAGCTGTGGGGGGGGGGGTGTTGGGTGGTTTGAGGGGGGAGGGAAGGGGGGATGAGAGGACGCAACTGCACCACGGCATGTAACGGGTTCAGATGGAGCTGTTGGGCAAAGAGCAAGGGAAGGAGGAGCAGATGATGGGGCGGAAGAAAGAATAAAGTGGGAAGCTGTTACAGATCCGTACCCTCCCCCTCCACCTTCTCCCCCTGCACTGTCTAGGTATGCTCGTAACGGCCGCAACTGCACCACTGCGTGTAGCGGATTCGGACGAAGCTGGGGGGGGGGGGGCGTTGGGTGGTTTGAGGGGGGAGGGAAGGGGGGATGAGAAGGCGCAAGGCACCACTGAACTGCATGTAGTTGTGGAGGGCAAATCAGCGGGTGGGTGGAGAGGGTGCGGAGTAGGAAGCATTACAAAGAAGGAGCCTTTTGAGAGAGAAGGGAGACTTTGGAAGCGGAGGGGTCTTTTGGGTGCGGCAAATCAGCGGGTGGGTGGAGAGGGTGCGGAGTAGGAAGCATTACAAAGAAGGAGCCTTTTGAGAGAGAAGGGAGACTTTGGAAGCGGAGGGGTCTTTTGGGAAATGGAGTGGTCGAGGGTGAGAAGGGGGTCGAGGGTGACAAGGGACGCGAGGGAAGTGTGGAGAGGAGATGGTGAGCGTGAGGGCACTTGAGCGCGAGCATGCCACGAATAAAAAATGCATGTCAGCTGCTTTGCAAGTGGATTAGGGTGCACGGAACCAAAGACGCACACACACACCTCCTAAGTAGGTCCTTTCATTTTTTATTTTTTAAATTATTATTATTAATGAATTCTGTTGAGAATTCTCAATAGGAATTCTCTTGAAATTTCACAAAAGCCAACTGAGCCGATCCAAGGGATTGAGTTGGTTCCAAGGTTGGGACCCTGAAGTGGTGTTCCAATTAGGAATGCCGACGCACCTGGTCGCCTTGCAGCATGCCGACACACCTGGTCGCCTTGCAGCATGCCGATACACCTGGTCGCCTTGCAGCATGCCGACACACCTGGTCGCCTTGCAGCATGCCGACACACCTGGTCGCCTTGCAGCATGCCGACACACCTGGTCGCCTTGCAGCATGCCGACACACCTGGTCGCCTTGCAGCATGCCGACACACCTGGTCGCCTTGCAGCATGCCAACACACCTGGTCGCCTTGCAGCATGCCGACAGCATAGTTGGTGGCCAGATGTAGCTGCGATGAGGTGAGCGTCTGCCGGGAAGGATGATCGAGCAATTGAGGTGCAAGGGAGCAGTGGAGGAGGGAGGGGTGAATTTGATTCAGTTTTTAGGCGTTTTGAAGGACCGCAAGGAGGAGCGAAGGAGGAAATGAGAGAGGGGGGAGAGCGAGAGTGACACGGAAGAAGATGATTCGTGCATTTCTGGGTTTCACGCGAACGGTCGTTCATTAGAGGTGCCTCAAAAGCGGTACATTCCTGGTTTCCATACGAACAGTCGTTTTTTTTATTCTAACAAAAAGGATTGTGTCTGGCTTAGAAAATAACATTGCCAACCACAACAAGATGAACAGTACCTGCGAGGTTTGCTTGAGGTTGTCTGCCGAGTCGTGATCATAGAAGGTGTCGCTTGTATGATTCATCCATGGCATGGCAGTATGGTATTGAACCCTGGATACAGTCATTCTCATCGCCACGTTAACTACTGAATGAAGAGCACCTGCGTGGTTTGCTTGAGGTTGTCAGCTGAGTCGTGATCATACGAGGAGTTGCTTGTATCGATGGCGGCATGCAGGCAGGAATTCAGTATGGTCATTCACAGATCTACGTTAATTAGGGCCAACATGGCACCTGCGTGGTCTGCTTGAGGTTGTCTGCCGAGTCGTGATCATACGAGGAGTCGCTTGTATCGATGGCTAAATCCACCTCCACTCGTGATTGTAACGGCCGCACCCGAATCTGCCATTCCATGCCATCCCCAACCCCCCCAATTCGTCAGTATGCACAGTCACAGAGCGATCAATCGCATGAAGAATGCACATGTAGCATAGAAACGTAGAAACGTACGAGAATGCGTGTTGTAGTTACACAAATGAGAGATGCATGCATACTATGCATTAAAATGCATTCGGCATGCACTCGACATGCATTTGTTGTGAATTTGGCATGGATTTTGCATGAATGTGGAATGGGTTTGAGAATGATTTGGCATGCATTTGACATGCGCTCGACATGAATTCGCACGCACGAAGGCACCTGAAACGCAGTTCACAAGCATAAAGCATGCCTGATCAAATCAGTCACTCACTCCTTCATCACCCCATCTCACCTCCTGACACCGCTCCTCCAGCCCATAGGGCCGCCAGGCTGGGCGCAGGGGGTACTGGAACAGGTACAGCTGCGCTGGGCGTGGGGCATGGGGCAGGGCACACAGGGCATGGGGCAGGGCACACAGGGCATGGGGCATGGTGAGGCACAGAGCATGGGGCAGACAGTGGGAGAGGAGGAAGGGCCACCAGGCTGGGCGCAGGGGGTACTGGAACAGGTACAGCTGCGCTGGCACGTAAGGGCAGGGGCATGGGGCATGGGGTGGGCATAGGCCATCATGAGGCACGGAGCGTGAACCACGACCGTGTCCTCTGCTCACTCCTCGAGGAGACAACCAGGGCGGGTCATAAGTGGAAGACTTAATAGCCTAACAGCCTCTCTGACGAGCCAACAAGAGCTACAAACTCTGCCCAAACAGCCTATACCGACAAAATCCGAAGGTTGACAAACGGATGGGGAAGATGATTTGTCCATTACAGCCTTTTGAGTCATGCCTTGGTTTGATCGTCGACACGAGGCATCAGAAAGACGTCGATTTCTCGAATGACACGTGGCTCCTGACTCGCCGGTTTCACGTCCGCGTCTCCTAGCCCATCCGCTAACTCTTTCATCGGAAAACCGTTAGACTTGCCGGTCGCCGTTGACGGATCGCCGGCAGACGTGGCCAGCTGGCAGCCGTCTACGTCTGCGGGAATACTGCTGGGATTCGCGTCAACTGCTTGCTCCGCCATCTGCGCCTAGCAAGTGCGTGACTCCCTAGCGAATTTACGTCCTTATCCCAAGCCTTCGCTTCCTGTTCGTTCACCAGTAGTAACGCCTACGGTTATAATGTTACTCTGCGAAACCGTTTACTTCTGGGCTGAAGAATTAAGGTTCGCGTTTCTGGGCTGAAGAGGACATTCTCGCATTGTTCAAAAGCCCCTTCCCCTTGTTTCAAAAATTTTCTTGGTCTTTCAGTGAGTCTGCTCTACCCCATTCTGACGGGAAATGAAGAAATCTGAAACGAGAATGTCTCTCAACCCCGCCAGCGCGGCAGGAAAGACACCGCGATTACTCGCGAAACTTTACCCGAAGCTGCGTGACCCAAGAATGTGTAACGTCTGACACGTGTCGTTGCGCCACTGCACCGATCATGTCAGAGGCGCGTAACGTCAGACATCGGCGATCCCTCGCGGACGCCTGTTCGCGAAATGCGGCTTCGCGAATCAAGTAGGCGCTGTGGACGAAACGAAACCCTGCCCAACCCTCTCCCTCTCCCTCCTCGATTAGGGAGAGGGAGAGGATCCCTGTGGTCGACCCTCTCCATGGTGAATCTCTGATGGTACAGTAATCTCTCTTGGTTGGCGGTAGGTGCTAAAACAAGGCAGAACAAGAATCGAATTTCAAGGAGC